GTCCTCCAGTCCAGGACATTAACTTTTTAATTTGGCTCTTGGTCAGCTTCCAAGTTTAAGTCAAGGTGTTGATTTTGAACCAATGTAAAAAAAATATCTAAATCCATGGCCACTATTGTGGCAAAAGAAGAGTTTATGATTTTGGTTCTGCAGATCCAGCTGCCTCAGTCTGATGGCTAAATTATACTATTTTATGGTCCTCACTATCTCCCCCACCCCTCCCACTCAGCAGAGCTCTGGAAAAAAAAAATTTAAGACGTATTTATGGGTAGGAAAGTACAACAATGATATCAACAGAATGAAAACTTCCTCATAACTCTTAGATAAGTCCTAAGTTTTTACTTACTATTTCAATTGTCTTTATTAATATGTCCATTGTATTTTTAAATTGTGAGAAAATATACAACTTAAATGGAAGTGTGAAGTATAGTATTGTTATCCATATGCACATCACTGTACAGAAAGTTTCAAGAATTTTTTTTATCTTGCAAAACCAAAACACTATACTCATTAAAGAACTTCCCTTATCCCTCTCCTGTCAGTCCGGAAAATCACTGTTCTACTCTGTTTCTAAGAGTTTGATGACTTTAGATAACTCATATAAGTGCAATCAGACGGTATTTATATTTTAGTGATTGGCTTATTTCACTTAGTAATTATTTCTTGAGATTTCACTTATAAGCAAAGCTGAATATTATTTAATTGTATCCATAGATCATATTTTATTTCTCCATTCACATATATTTAGATTGCTTCTATGTCTTACCATTAGTAATTATGCTACAACCAATATGGATATATTAGTGAACTTGTGCAGATATAACAAAACACAAGGATCAAGTGGCTGAAAAAAAATTTTCTCCCAGTTTAGGATGCTGGAATCCAAGTTCAGGGTACCAGTACTGCTATGCCCTGGCAATGCTCAATTGGTGATGCCTTTTTCCTTGGATATTCTCACATGCAGAGAGAGAGAAAGAGAGAGAGAGAGAGAGACAGAGAGAGAGAGAGAGAGAGATAGGTAGGTAGTGGTGGGGTAACTCTGTTGTTTTCCTATAAGAACATTAATTCCATTATGGGAGTCCCAAAGTATGACCTCATCAAAACCTAATTTCTTAAAGACCCTATAATATACAAATAACATCACATTGAGGACTAGGGTTTCAAAATGTGAAATGGATATATAGATATCTCTTTGAGATCTTGTTTTCAATCCTTTTGTGCATAGAAACAAAAGTAAGATTCTTGGATCACATGATTGTGTTTTTAATTTCTTTTGAGAAACCTCTATATTGTTTTCCATAGAAGCTGCACCATTTTGCATTCCCACCAACAGCATTCAAGTGTAGAATTATGATCATAATTTTTCCACATCCTCATGGACACTCATTTCCTGTATTTTTGATGGAAATCAACCTAATGAATGTGAGATGGTGTTTCATTGTGGTTTTTATTTATGTTTACCTCTTGTTATAGATTTTGCACATACTCTTATATTATTATAGGGAGTTATCTCTCTCTCTCTCAACAACAAATGCTAGAGGAATAGTTGTGGACTGTAAGTAATATGCATAGTACTTAAATAAATGAAAACATTAGAAAATTCCACAATGTTTAGCTAATAAAAAAAGAGCAGCAGAAATGTCTAGAACACATCAAGTTACATTATACAAGAAATAATTGAGAGACCAAGTATGCTTAATTTGAACAAGGGTATATACTTAGGGGACTTGAGAGCTGTATGCATGCGTCAAGTGTCCACTGTGCATATAAACTGCTTCAAATCTGATTTGGGAGTAAGTAGGATGTACATTATTCAAAATAAATAAATTCTCAATGATTCTAGGCACAAGAAGTAAAAATTTAGTTCAATTTAAAGAATGCACTTTGTAACAGGGCTGTCTTATCATAAGATGAGAATCCTCGGAGAGGACTGAGCTATCCACCCTTGCAGGTATTGAAATATAAGCTGTTAATAAAACAATTGAATTTTGCAGAAGGTCACTCAGACGTCATACAAGGATTAACTTATGTGTCCTCTTAGTCCCTTAACAATGAAATTTCTCCATAGATTTGTGAAAGAAAATGACAATGGCTTATTAGGTATTTGGCATTGCATAAATGCAAAATCCAGTGCTTCACATGAGATTCAGAAAGTTGAAAATTCAAGCTTTCTTAGGAACATACTGAGCCATAGTATACTTTATCAAAATTTAAAATACAGATGGGAGATATGAGACTTCCTTCTACTCTTGACAATAATGAAGTATAAGGAACCATTATAAATAACTATAAAGCTGAGTAAAATATATTAACTGACTGTATTCAGACCCTGAACACTCGGAAGTGCTGAAATATGATGCCTGAGAGAAGGGAAATAAATGAGGTAAGAACTGTAGTTTCTAGGGCTCTGCTCGGGGACATTTTGAACCATGGATAGAGGGTTCAAACAGAGCCCGGGTGATCTTGCTGAATGAAGGAGACAGAGATCAAGTTCAAGGAGACAGAGACATCAGGAAATGTGGGTCAGAACTCCAGAAAAGAGAAAGAAATGTAGAGAAAAGCTCCACAAGTCTGTCCATAACGGTGAACAAAATACAGACCACAAAGCAGAAAGCTGAACTAGACATAAAGCTTACCGAGATGTTCAAGTTTTAGCCAGGCACAGAGAGAGTCCTCTATGACGCAATTAGTAAACTCTCCAGAAATTGTACACTTCGGGTGTGAGCCCCAACTATCACAGAGTGAAGGTTACTCTGCCTTTAGACCCACCTACGAAAAGCTTTGAAACACAAAACAAAAAGATCATACTGATCCACTGGTAACTGACCTGCCTGACAGAACAAAGCCCAGTGGTCTTTAAAGAAAGACAGCAAAAATCTAGATACTCAACAAGGTAACGTTCACAATATTAAGCTATGGCCAGACAGGGCAAGAGGCAGGCAAGCAACTGTATTCTTCAACCAGGAAAAAGATCAACCATTCAAACCAGAACCAGAAATGACACAGATAACAAAACCAGCATGGGAGGATGTTAAGGTGGCTTTTAGGGATGTAAACATTTTCAAAGAAAAAGGAAAGACAGATAAAAGAACCAATGGAGCATCTACACAGTAAAATAAAGATATAAAACATCTGATTATAAAAATCCTGTATAACACGAATAGAAGATTCGAAATCACTGTAGAACATATACTGTGACGAGAGAGAGAGAGAGAGACTGACTAAAGGAAGCGTATCATTGACTCAGTGACTTCTAGAACAAAATGGCTTGGTCTAACACACATATAATTTATCCCAGAAAAAGCAGGGTGGGGAGAGGCAGGAAAAACATTTGAAGAAATAATGACCATGTTTTTTCTAAGTGTCATGAAAACTGTGAACACACACGTAATGGAAAACCACACAAAGGCACATCATAATCAAATGCATGGGAACCAGTGGCAAAGGAAAAATGTTGTAGAAGCACTAAGAGATTAAAGGCACATCAAATGCTGAGGAACAAAGGTAAGAATTACCACAGGAAAGAAGTATATGCCAGGTGCAGAGGAACAAGGAAAACATTACTTAAAAGAAGTCTTATCATAAACTATGCAAGCCAGAAGATGATAGAGTAAACACTTTTACATGCATGGAGTGTGGGGGAGGGGGAAATTTTGACAATCTAGAATTTTATGCCCAGAAAAAAAAAAAAACAACTTCAAAAATTAAGGTGAAATGGAAGTTTTTTCAGACAACAAACACTGAGAAAAAAAATTGTGCCAGCAGATTTGTACTATCGGGAATATTTTTAAAGCTCTTCAAGAGGAAGGAAGTGACAGGAGAGGAACACTTGGATTAACATGAGTAAGTGAAGACGACCGTCAATGGGAAAGATGAAAAACACTGGTTTTTCAGTTTTAAGTGTCTTTCCTTTAAAAGAAAATAAACTGCTCAATGCTGGGGTTTAAAAGATATGTAGATTAAAAATGTGATAAGAATAGCACAAAGAAGAAAATGAAAGAGTTGTGTAAGCCTTACATGATTTTGTACTTTGGATACATATTGTGAACCCTAAAGCAACCACTGACTAATAGATAAGATAAAAATGAAGCGGAACAAGTTGATTTAACAAGAGACAAGGAAAGGCAGGGAGAGCTTACACAGCATGATAGGAAAGGAATAACAGGCTGTAGATTCAAATTTATTCCTATTTTTAAAATTTGAACTTAAGTTATGGAGACACCCCAATGCAAAGCCTAGATTTTTCAGACTATATAGGAGGACAATATCTACACACTGTCTATACCTAACCACTTAAAATATAAATACACATGGAAATAAAGACAAAATGTGGAAAAGGATATATATATATACCATGAAAACACAAAGTATTAGAAAACCAGGGCAGCTTTATTAGAACAAATGAAGTGGACTTTAGAAAAAGCAATATTGCCAAGGATCAAGGACACACACACACACACACACACACACACACACACACACA